GATGCGGGGTATAGGGAAGGCATCGCCGAGCGTGACTGCATTTAGTTTACGGTAATCGACGCAGAACCGTGTTGACCCATCCTTTTTCGTTACTAGTACCACCGGGGCTGACCAGGGGCTCGCCGAGGGCTGAATTATGTTATCGCGAAGCATGTCCCCAACCGCCTCTTTGATTTGGGCGCGTTCGGGTGCGCCCACTCGGTATGCAGGGAGTTTGATGGGTCGGGCTGCACCGGTGTCAATTTGGTGCTTAACAAGGTCGGTCCGACCAACGTCCGAGTCGTGTTCGCTGAACACGTCGGCATACTCCCGCAGTAACTCGCGCAGCCGATCGGCCTCTCCCTTAGGTAAGTCCGCCCATGGTACATGTAACGCGTCGAGCAGGGGAACGACCTCGGCTCGGGGAGTCGGGCCGACTCGCCAGGCCAGGTCCTGCTCACCCTCAGGACGACCGGGGTCCTCAGCCCAGAGTGCGAACACCGAGTCGTTAGAGTGGCGTGCGTGCAGGGGGTGTACTGTGGCTATCGGGGTGCGCCGTCGCAGTATCGCTGGGGTATTGTGGGGGTTAAACATCCGCATAAACAATCGGTCCCCATCTGCGTTTACCAACGTGGCGGATCCCACAACCCCATACCGTTTTGCCAACTCCGGGTGAGGAGTTAGCATTACCTCCCCTGATGGTCGGAGCGCGGGGTCGGTGGGGGATGTTGCCACCGGCACCAGCATCTCGGTGAGCGGCCCGATGGTGACTGCCGTCGCCAGGATAGCGGCCACAGGTGCAAAGCGGAGGCGCGTTGGTTCTCGTCCCAGGAACGGTATCCGCTCGCCGTTGCTCTCCATGGTGGCGCATCGCTGGCGGGGTTGCACGTTGAGTCCCAACCGTTCTAGGAGGTCGGTGCCTGCGATACACTCGTGACACAACGCACTCGACACGTAGAACTCCTGCGTGCACACCTGGCTGCCTATGCGGACCTCTAGGGTGGCTCTCCCCAGCAGCCCCATTCCGGCTCCGCTCGCAGTGTGCAGCGCGCGGTCCGGGGCCTGCAGGTGACGCACGTCGACCCCGATCGCGCTGCAGTGCGCTGCGCTCACGAGCGAGGCCACCGCCCCCGTGTCCAGCAGGATTCGGGTACGCACTCCGTTAACCTCCCCTTCCACCAGCGACGTGGCCCCCGTGATCCCCGCCACCAGCTCCCGTAGCCAGTCGCCGGGAGTCACCGTTTCCGTGGGCGTTGTTGCTGGAACCTGTGTGGAGATCACTCGCTCGCCATTATTCTCATTATCGTCTATTTGTATCGGGACCGCGTCGATTGCACCCCTAGTTGGTCCGCTTTCTAGGGGGCGTTGGAGTTTAACCCCCGCATCTGCCTAGCTCGGGTGATTTCAGGACAATCTCTCACTAAATGCCCTCGGCGATCGCACATATAACATGCCCGAGGAGGGGGGGCGGCTCCGTAGTGGGCCCCCTGCCCACTCCCTCTCCCTCCCCCAGTACGCAGTTGTCCCAAATCGGACTCTAATTGGGACACCCTCCCAGCTAGCCCCCCTACCGTGGAACGTAGTTCACCCATCTCAGACTGGAGGGTCTTCATATTTTTATTTGCTTCCTCACGTACCTGGGTTACCCTCTCACCTACGTGGGTTACCCTCTCACCTACTTGGTTTATCATATCTCCCATACCGGCCTGTAACCCAGCTACCCACCCCGGGGTTTTCTCGCTGGGTCTCTGGGGCTCCCTTGCCCGTCCCCTTCCTGCGATGGCGAGCTCCTCCTCCTCGTCCGAGAGTAGGCTCGCTACGGCGCACTCTCGTCCCCTCCCTCGAGGCTGCGCGCGCTCACCCGAGAGCTTCTCGCATTTACGCGCGCGCTCGACAAGTGTGTTAAAGGAGAGGCGTGCACCGTCTATATTTGGCTGCCACCACGGGGTGCGTGCCAAATATCGCTGGACCTTCCCGGCGGCGAGGCTCTCAATTACCTTTGCCTCGTGCTCCGGGTACGCGAGCTGGGTCAACATGCGTCCGTCCTCGACGTAATCTCGCAGATCCTCGCCGGGCTGACGGCGGCGTGCCTCTAAGGCCGCCTGCGCCTCCTCCTCGTCATAGGCGCCGAAGCGCCGTTCGAGTTCGCACATTAATTTTTCCCACTGAGTTTGTGCGCTTGCGGGCAAAGCTTCCACAAAGTCAGCTGCTCTCCCATCTAAATGTATCTCTAACTGCTGCAACGCCTCCTCATCCGACCACCCATTAACCTTTTTAGCCCCCCTGATGCTGCGGGCAAACGATTTCCATGATGGAATTCCTTTGCCCGTAAATGTGCATTTGATTTTAACCTGGGTTGGGGGGCCTCTTTCCCTTGGGGGCGCGGGGGATCGTCCCGTTTCTGACACCAATTTGTGGGGGTCGCTGGCCCCCGAGATCCCTCCATCTGTACCGCTAACGGCCGGGTTAACCTCATTATTAACCTCATTACTCGCCCCCTCGCTACTAGGCGAACCGCTGTTGGGTTCTTCACCCATGGGGTGAGAGCCGTCGCTCGAGGATTCCCCTCCCCCGCGGGTCCGCGTAATAGGCATGGTTAATTACGTACGCGCACACCCACACACAGCTCTGCGCGGCACTCACTCAACACAGCCCACTCACGTTAGGGTCGCGCACCTGTATTATACACGTAGTGAACGTGCGCGCACACACGCATACAGCTCCACACGCGATACCCACTCTCGCGCCGCTCTGCGCAGCGCTCGCCGCCTGCTGGCCGCTCACGTTATGATCGCGCACCTGGGGTATGCCGATTACGCACGCCGTGAGCTTACGCATACACCGTACCACACGCGTTCACACTTATAACACGAGATCACACGAGACCACGCTTCGCTATTAATGATTTATTATCCGCTACCTGGAACTAGATGTTAAATCAGTGAGTCGACGAGGCTGGCCTACGCTGATACCTCTATACCTATTCCCGATTTATCTGCTATGATTCTAATTCACCTTCTTACTCACTGTTAAGTGTCCACGGCGGTCCGCTGATCCTTGTGCTCACCGCGTGCCTCGGTGCGTCTCACGGACGTCCGGGTCGCTGGCTGGAGCTGCGTCTGGTCGCCTGGCGCTGGAGTAAGAGAGCGATTTCCCCTCTGCGCTCTCCATTTATCCTGATTCCCGGACCCCTACCCCCTTCCCACGCATCGTGCGCCTTCGCTATGCTAATTAATCCGTTGTCCGCGCGGCGTGAACTCCAAACAATGGCACGCGCCCCCCTCGCCCGGGCCAGGCAGCTCCGCGGTGCCTTTGTTCCGCTAATCAATGAGCGACCTGCACGGCGCAAATTCCAATCAATCCTTTTCTCACGCAGGCCCCCGTCATCGAGGTTCATGCGGCGGTGTCCATCACAAAGGCACGCCGTGGGAATTTGTGCACGGCTGCCCGCGTGACCCCGCTCTCCAGGTTATTCATACTAATAGCCTTCTCCTTTAACTCCCCTAATAATGGTGCCTGCGTGTTTTCTAATGAAGCTCCTCCATCACAATGCTTATTCCCTCTGCCTGCCCCGTCGATACTCGCGTGTGTGGGGGGAAATGCGCCTCAACCGCGGTGGCCGAATGCCCCACGCCGCGACCACACCATATTAAGGCCGGCCGCAGCGCCGCGGTGCCACGTAGCACGGGGGAGGTCATCCAATTCCCTGATCGCCGGAAACTGTGAGAATTAATCCCGATAAGGGTCTCTCGGATAAAAACCGGTCGATCAGGTAACCTTCCCTTCCAGCTCTATGGGGGGGGGGGGGGGGGGGGGGATGCGTGCGGGTGTGTGCTTATGTGGGGGGGGGGTGATGGGGGGGGGCAGTGCGGTGGGGGAAGCCGGGCGGCTCCCTGGCTCGGCAGAGCGGCCCCGTCGCTGTGGCACCACACATAGTCCCATGGGATGTTGGCTATCAACAACAAGGCAACTCCTATGACTAATTGGGAATGGGACGCAAGCGTAGGATTGATCACCCTGTCGCTGGCCGCCTTTGGGGAGGGTGTATAGTATGAAAGGCCGAAACACCCTAGGAACCAAAGGTACACTACTGACGATGCGCTCCCCAAATTTCACCAGGCTCACTGTTCATGAACTCTTGCAAGTGCTTGTACAAAGGATAGTAACATCTCATCCTGTGTTCTTGGAATCATTAATGGAGTATCAAACTCGTGCTGGAAAGCCCAGGACACATAGGCTGGTTTGAAATCTTGATTTCATCTTCCATTTGCGGATATCAGCCGCCTGTGATTAACCCGGGTTCTCAAGTGTTAGCGAATGTCTGTACACAAAAAAAATCCTCAAATCATCAAGTTTAATTTAGTTCAGGGCTTTTTTTGGAGGGTGAAATTCCAGTTGTGAGATTTACATTTTAGTTTTAACTTGCAAAGTGACAAACAATTTTTTTTACATAGCAAGGCGTTTTTTTGAAATGTGCAGCAACTCGCACGTGTAGATAATTATAGGTCGCTTGAAGGGATTTCAGAAGTAGTTCTAGAACATCTCCTTCCACGGGTCGTTCTCTATATATACACACAGCACAAGGCACATCCAAATGGATGCTTAACCTCATGACGAGACGCCAAAAGCACAGTCGAGGCACACTTTTCATCACTGCTAGCTATGAATATTTAAAAAGTTACCGTTATTATCTCTCTTGACAGAGATACCGATAGTGCATTTGATGTGTAGTTGGTGCGACGGGAAGGGTTAATCATTAGTTGATCAGCATGTGCTCATGTCACGTGCTTTGTGTATCCATGTATTTATTCACGTCTTTTTGTTCTCACGTCTCATTCTGTGTTTTCATATTTCTGTCTTCATATGTTTATATCTCTGTGACTTCATTTTTCTCCGTACTGTATTGATGTCTCTGTGCACCCATGTCCCTCTGTACTCATATCCCTGTGTACTCATATCCCTGTGTACTCATCTCCATGTATACTCATCTCCATGTGTACTCATGTCCCTACATGCCACAGGAAATCTCCTGACCTTCCTCGAGAGGAGATCTTCCGCCAACCGTGACCGTCTCTACCTCAAAATGGCTGCCGAGGTACCCTTCGTTTTCTTTTATCTCACGGCCGAGTGGACGTAGTGGCAGGACAGGTGCGATGGCCCACGCAGAAAGTCGACGTCTCAACCCAGCACGAGACGACGGTCACATCCATAGTCGGTGGTCCCAAGACATTGGTGGAAATTCCATATTCCCATGACGGGATGCAATGGCATTGGTGCACGTCCCCCCCACGTGGTAGACGTTGGGAAGCCCTCCTCAAATAACCCAGAGGGGTTTAACCAGATGATACGTAAGGAGAAATGTGTGCATGTATGTATGTACGTTGAACTTATTTCGCAAACGTACGTAGCCAACCGTGCTAATCGTAGGTGCGGGGGAAGGACAACAAACTAAACGCAAAACGTGCTTCTAATAAAATGACTTTTCCATCTAGATTTGAAAGTGCATAGCTCCAATGGCTTCCTAATATCGGGAGGAAGAGTGTTTTAGATGGCCGCAGAAAAGCATCTGAATGCGCGCGATGCAGTGACCGTCTTTGTTTGATGGTCAAGCCAAAAGCTGCTGAGAGGATGACCGGAGTTTTGCGTGATGGTTTATGCTCCTTGATGAGATCAGCCCAAGGTGTTGTGGTTCGTTTGTGGCAAGCACTTTGTGTGTCATGAGTGCAACCTCAATCTATTCTTCAGCACCCGGAATTCAATGCAGCTTGGCAAGCACTCGAGGGACATGGTTGTGAATCGACTGTATGTAGGAGAAGGGAAACTCCGATGTCACATTGGAGCAGACAAAGCTCGCACAATCTTTTTCAGGCAGTGTCTTGTCTGGAAGTGAATCTACAATTACCAATCTGATGCTTCAATGCCGTCTCCGGACCACCTCGTGTCCCACCCCTTCAACGCCTCGTGTTCCCAGGGGTATCCCAACCAACTGAGCGTGAAACCAGGCTCAGTCCTGCTGACGAGATCGAGTGTGTTCACGCTGATTTGGTGGCGGCGGTGGTGGTGGTAGTTGGTGAGGTGATATTTTTTAAATCCTTTATATTAAGTTCGCTTGCTTGCTTGCGTGCTTGCTTGCTTGCGTGCTTGCTTGCTTGCTTACGACCGTGCAAATCTTTCGGTCGTTTTTTAACTCACTTCCCGTGATCCAATCGAGCTGACATTTTCCACACAGACTCGTTGTGACAGACAATTAATGTTCGTGAAAAAAAATTCAAAAATTTTACACTTTTTAGGCAAAAAAAATCTATTTTACATTTATTCAAATAGAACTCATTCATGGCTTTGGCTGAACGTCACAGTATAGGAGCCCAGAGCGTAACCACGCCAACAGGCCGTGGTGGAGTAGCGCAGTTAGTAGCGCCCTCGCTTCCCATGCCAAAGGTCGATCCCCGCGTCCTCCACAGGCAAGTATATTTTAAATCCTTTATATTAAGTTCGCTTGCTTGCTTAGGACCGTGCAAATCTTTCGCTCGTTTTTTAACCCACTTCCCGTGATCCAATCGAGCTGACATTTTCCACACAGACTGGTTGTGTGTGACAATTAATTTCCGTGAAAATTTTTTTCCAAAATTTTACACTGTTTAGGGAAAACAAATTAAATATTTAATTACCAATTGCTTAATACTGGCAGACAATCATCTGACCCATAGATTGCAGCCATCTCAAGCCAGAGGACGAGAGGACTCTAGCCGCCACGAATATAAAGGATTTAGAGTGAAAAACTTTGTTTTTACGGGTTTGCTTGTTATGCCCTTCGAGGTGGCCGAGGGGATGCGCTTCCTGGAGGAGGAGGGCTGCGTGCACCTCGATCTTCGTGCGGCCAACATTCTTCTCGACGACGGCTTCGGCTGCAAGATCGCGGGATTCCAGCTCGTCCGCAAGCTCGCGGGCGAGGTGTATCACATCAGTGAAGGTGACGACTCAGTCCTTGTGATCCTCATCATCGTCGTCGTCGTCGTCGTCGGTAGCAGCATTGCGTCGTTGCTCTGTAGATCAGGAGATTGATGGAGGATCGGTCGCCATTATTACCAAAATTCCCACCGTTACCGGCACTACAATCGACATCAGCGTCACGATCATTTGTATCTTTACAAAAAACACCGCCGCCATCATCATCGTCGTCACCATCAGCAGCAGCAGCAACAGCTGCTGCATTAAGGGTGGATGAGTGTTTTGTTATCATTCACGGTCGCAATTTCATTCGAGAATTGTCAAAACTGTGGGGAGCGTAGTGGCCTCTAGTGGCTGCAGGGGTCACGTGGCACGATTTAATACAACAAACGAATTGAAAAAATATACTGAAAGAGCCAAAGAGTAATTCCTGCAATCACGAAAGCTTTAAATCAAGTTTGGAAAAATAGAGCTATGATATACTATAATCTTTAGCTTAAATAATCGATAGTAATTGATTAATATACGCGTCTTTACACCTATCATTAATCACCAGCGTCATCATCATCAGCGGCAGCATCACTGGCATCATCACAAACATCGCCACCGTGATCATCACCATTGGCCTCTGTGTGCGAGAACTTGGCATGTAACGAAACATCAGTCAGTCTATACGGGTTCTTCAGTTACTTCCTGTGGCTACTTCCCATTCATCATCATCATCAGCCATGGTCGACCCTCTCTCAAATCCGCGATGTACACTTTCCCTTGTTATTCGCGAGGGATGTGTTCCACAGATGCTCGCGAATATCAATAAATACATAAATAAGCTATTAAATACATGAATTCTAGATTTGAAGCTTTCGTGACTGCAATGATTCATACTCTTAGGTTCTTTCGGTGAAGTCACGTAGGTAAAAAAATTATTACTATTATTACTTTTATTAATTTTAATTACATTTTACCTACGTGACTTTACCGAAAAAAACCTAAGAGTATAAATACATGAACATTATCTAAATAACACAGTAAAATAAAATAAAACGTAAAGTAAATACAAAATTATTATTAAAGTGTTAACAATACTTTAAAAATGAACTCACTTTACATTACGATGTTGCATTGCATTCTCTCTCGTCACTTGATTTCACCACTTGCTTTCTTTCTCTCTCTCCCTCTCGATATCATCGCGTAGAGTTCCAGATGCGATTCGTGGATAGCCAAAAATCGCGGAACAGCAGGTTCGTGAATAACTAGCGAATAATACAATCCACGCAAAAGCTGTTCTATCGCTGCTCCATCTCCACGGTAGATGCCCTCTCAGCCGCGTCCCCAGTCATTTGGTGGCCGGAGTAGGTGTACGGGGAGGGATATCATCCAAAGATCTATGAGGATGGATTGCAAATCTACTCGCCAGAGGTCACAAACGGGTTTTGATTCCTTACCCGTACCCGGCCGCACCAGGGTCGCAAACGGGTACCCGTACCCGGCCGTACCCGTACCCTACCCGTACCCGGCCGGGTATCGGGTAGGGTACGGGTATCGGGTACCTGATTGCGACCTCTGGGATGAAGCCATGTTGCAGGCGCGGGTGGGTTGATTCTAGGAACTTGAATTGTGAGAAGAGACAAGACGTTGGGAAATGAGTGACAAACGGTTACTCACCGGTGACTCACGGCCTACCCGTACCCGGCCGCACCAGGGTCGCAAACGGGTATCCGTACCCGTACCCGGCCGGGTACGGGTAGCCAGGTATCGGGTAGGGTACGGGTATCGGGTACCCGGTTGTGACCTCTGCTACTCGCTGCGCTACCCCTTACCTGTGTGTGTGTTGTGCAGGAGACATGCTGCCCGCACGCTGGTGTGCCATCGAGACGTTCACGACCAAAGTGTGGACGTGCAAGTGTGACTCCTGGTCTTTCGGGGTGCTGCTCTTTGAGATTTACTCGGACGGCGCCCTCCCTTACAGAGGTTCAAACGGCCTGCGCCGATTCACGGCACCCCCCCCACCCCCCCACAGCCATTTGAATGATCGTCGCGTTTTAGAATAATCGTTTGCCGCCACGATTAATTACGTCATCTGAAAATTTCATCCGATCTTTTGTCGTTTCATGTTTTTGTTTTTACCTCCCATCTCTGCACTGTTACTCCATCATGTTGAAGGTATAATTAGCGTATAACGTGCATAATTATTGATTTACACATAATGAATATTTCACGAGCGTACAAATCGATTTCGCTACTTGCCTGACTGCTTGTTTGCCGAACTGTGGAGTGTTGTTGTCCTGCCCCCACACCTCCGATTCGCACGGTTGACTATATGTATGGTGCGATAGAAGTTCAACATACACCTCTTGAGCGCGAAATTTTGTAATAACCGTGTCTGCGACGGGAATAAAACTGTGACGACGTCTGCTTCGTGTCCTCCACCCCCCACCCTCCCCCACCCCCCTACCCTCCCCCACCCCACCCCCACCCCCACCCCCCCACCCTCCCCCACTCCCCCACCCTCCCCCCACCCACCCCCCACCCTCCCCCACCCCCCCACCTCCCGACCTTCCCCCACCCCCCCACCCCCCACCCTCCCCCACCCTCCCCCACCCCCCCACCCTCCCCCCACCCTCCCCCACCCCCACCCTCCCCCACCCTCCCCCACCCCCCACCCTCCCCCACCCCCCCACCCTCCTCCCACCCCACCACACCCCCCACCCTCCCCCCCACCCTCCCCCACCCCCCCCCCCACCCTCCCCACCCCCACCACCCCCCCACCCTCCCCCACCCTCCCCACCCCCCACCCTCACCCACCACCCCACCACCCCCACCCCCCCACCCCCACCCCCCCCACCCCCACCGCCCCACCCCCCACCACCCCCCCACCCCCCTCCCCCTGCAGGTATGACGCACAGGCAGATGGTGGAGCTGCTGATGCAGGGAACCCGCCTAACGCGTCCAAGGCTCTGCCATGATGCCGTGCACAGCATCATGGCCTCCTGCTGGCATGAGGACCCACACACGCGTCCCGACTTTGGCGAGATGTCCACCTCCCTGAGCTCCCTCATCGGGGCCTAAGCTCCACTTTAGGGTCGCTATCTTTTCCACTGTAATCCAAGCCTCGTATACAGGAAGCCGTTTGTTTAATTCCGACCGTGATGCCTTCATATTTGAAGTTTGCACGTACTCTCTCTCTCCCCGCGCTCACGTGAATTTTTCTCTGGGTGCTGTGGTTTTCCCCTCCACATTTAAAACCATGAGTTTGGAGTACTTACTTACCTGCTATGAATTTCCACGTGATAAGCCACTTCGTTGAGCTGTCAAATGTGGCCAGGCCATTTCTGGAAAAAAAGAGCTATAAAGCTCAGTGGGCCCTACCTGATAAAATAAAAAAATAGTTTAAAATAGTTTTTAATAGATGTTGGGTTTCATGATTAAATCAGAGTCCCAAGTCCTCTTCTTGCATTTGTTATCAGAGGTCAATATCCAAATCGCCTGACCGCTTTATTTTTGTACAGGAGCGAGTTTAAGTGATTTTCGTGAGCAGTGCACGTTCAGATCGCATATACGTTAAGATGGCGTACATGGTTAACAGGGGATCGAATAAGCGGTGCGTTTTCAAAACAACATTACTGATGCAGGTGCATGCTACCGCGGAAGGAGGTGGCATTCTTTGTGGATAATTTAGAGGTCATCGCGTTACTTTAAGTCGGGTGATCACGAGGTCCTCCTCCTCTTCGAATTATGAGCTGTGTGACCCTTCCCAGGCTAGCATCCTTGTTCGCAAGCTTCACGAGTCATAATTGAAAAAATTAACCTGTAAAAACCAAGTTTTTCACTATAAATCCTTTCTATGCGTGGCGGCTAGAGTCCTCTCGTCCTCTGGCTTGAGATGGCTGCCACCTATGGGTCAGATGATTGCCTGCCACCATTAAGCAATTGGTAATTAAAAATAAAAAAAAAATCCTAAAAAGTGTAAAGTTTTGGGAGAAAAAAATTCACGAACATTAATTGTCTCGCACAACGAGTCTGTGTGCAAAATGTCAGCTCGATTGGATCACGGGAAGTGGGTTAAAAAACGACGGAAAGATTTGCACGGTCGTAAGCAAGCACGCAAGCACGCACGCACGCAAGCACACAAGCAAGCGAACTTAATATAAATGATTTAAAAATGAATCGAGCGGGACAGATTCACGTTCATTAGAATGCACAACAAATAAGTCGTGCTGCAGCTGCGGTGTGCACACCGGTCCTTTGTGTAGACAAATTAACGAATTAGCTGTCGGACATCACATTAATGCTGTTTTATGTTAATGTAACTAATCTATGTATAGTTATATTATGCAACTTGCATGCCGATTAGCTATAAAGTGGATGATGTTGGAATATATCTTCAGCGTTGATCCATAGTCTGCTCCGAACTCATAGTTGTATAGTTGTTCGTAAAGGGAAGAATGATTCGATTGTTGAAAGTACGTTGTAAGCCCGATGTGTGCGTGACTTTAACACATTCCTGCGAGGGAGCTGGTAGGAACGTTGGGTTGCTCGGTCAATGGCCAGGGTCAACGGCGGCGTGGTGTATTCCGCAAATATGCCCGACTGTGAGGGCGGGCACAAGCCGGCGTGAGTAGGTTAAACGTTGAGTTTTATAAGGGCACCACGGGGTGACCAGCCCCTCCCCACCCAGCCCCACCACTCCCACCCCCCACCCAGCCCCACCTTCCCCACCCAGCCCTTCCCCACCCAGCCGCTCCCCACCCTCCCTCCCTACCCATCCCCTCTCTCCCCACCCAGCCCCGCCCTGCACGACGGACGGACACAATAATCTCCTGTGGGCTGGTGTAACCAGGAGGTTCCTACCAGTATTAGTGTTCTTTAAGATATATGTTGTCTTGTTAAAGGAGATGCCCCGTTCTTTATTAGTCTGCGCGCTATTCCATTTATTTTGGGAACTGGCTCGCATGTTAACGAATGCTCCCTCCCATTTCGATTTGAGTCTGTATCATTATTTAATGTTTCATCCCAAAGTACAAGAGTGACTATATTCTTGGTTCTTTCGGCAAAGTCACGTAGAAGGGAAACAATGAAATAATAAAAATGTAAAACAATAAAATGCTCACGACGTTTCGACTGCAACACAAGCAATCATCATCAGGTGTGAAAAACACGGCAAGATAATTTTTTGAAAGTGGAGTCTTTTTTTCTTTCAAATTTTATTAGGGAGCTACTGGAGCTATGCACTTTTAAATCTCGATTGCATTTTTAAATCCTTTATATTAAGTTCACTTGCTTGCTTGCTTGCGCGCTTACGACCGTGCAAATCTTTCGGTCGTTTTTTAACCCACTTCCCGTGATCCAATCGAGCTGACATTTTGCACACAGACTCGTTGTGCGTGACACTTTATTTTCGTGAAATTTTTTTCCAAAATTTTCCACTTTTAGGAAAAAATAAATTTCATATTTAATTTAAAATACCAATGTGATAAAAATGAAACTCTTACTCAAGAAAAACATAAATGAATAATAAAATAAAACCGATGCCACGCATATAAAGGATTTATAGTGAAAAACTTTGTTTTTACGGGTAATTTTTTTAGAACCGCTTTTAGTGTTTTAGTTTGTTGTCCTTCCCCCCGCACCTCCGATTAGCGCCGTTGGCTACGTACGGTGCGAAAGAAGTTCAACGTGCACACAATTAACAATGTGTGTCTCCTGGTGACATTGAGCCCGAGAGCCCGAGGGTCTACGCTGTGAGGGGGGGGGGGTATCAAGGTTTTTTTTTAAAGAATGAATCCCATATTATTTTGTTGTTTTCGGTAAAGTCACGTAGGTAAAAAATTCTAATACATTTTTTTTCATATTTAAAAATTGCAATAATTAATTTAAAAAATTGTGGTTCAAATAATTTATTTTACTTTAATAATTTTTTTAACTTTTTTTGCCTACGTGACTTTACCGATAAAAAACAAAAAGTATGAATCCTTGCAGTCACGAAACCTTCAAATCTAGAATTCCCACATTATTGTAAAGGATGTATCCTTTTGACAGAGCAATTTTAAAGTGCATGCCTTATACTCAACAAGTCGAATCTGAGCTGATGTGCTCAAACACTCCCTCGTTAATTGCGATGGATACGTTCCGGGGATGCTCGCGTAACGATTTTGGGCTACGAAAACCCATCTCTTTAAAGAATTACCTTAAATAAATGCTCGAATAAGCTGTTTAACACGTTAAAACTATGCACCTCTCATCTCTTCATCTCACCACTTTGTCATCATTTTATCTCACCACTTTCTCGCATCAAATTCTCTCCAAACACTCAATCTCATCACTTTCCTTCTCTCTCTGTCGTTCTTGATGGAGCGACGTAGAGTTCCAGATGCGATGCTCGGATAGCCAAATTCGTGAACAGCAATTTCGTGAATAACTCGGGAATTCTGTACTGTGAAGTATACTAAGCAATTAAACGAAACAATTGTTTTCATTTCATCAGGTAAGGCGCACTGAGCTGTATAGCTCTTTTTCAAAAGCGACCGGCCACAAATGATAGTATTGTAAAAAAAAAGGTGTCAGTTTTGTTGCCAGATAAAAGGGTAAAAAAACAATTATCATATTTTGCTACTGGCAAAGGAGGTTCCAATGGTGTAAATGCTTGCCCCGTGCGCTCATACTCTAATGGGGCGTTTTCTTTAAATTGTGCGTCTTCAGGCGTCATCTGGTCCAACACCATGTGAGACTAGGCTCTAAGAAAAGCTGTCTCGGGTGTGGACCAATCAGTTTCAAGGACAGTGCATACATTATCAGAGTTGCGTTTTTTGTTTGCATTCCGACCGCAGGTATTGTGGTCAATGCAAACATGACTCCTTGTAAAAAAAAGGTGTCAGTTTTGTTGCCAGATAAAAGGGTAAAAAAACAATTATCACATTTTGCTACTGGCAAAGGAGGTTCCAATGGCACAAATGATAGCTCAATGAAGTGGCTTACCACGTGGGAATTTATCGTGGCCAAATACTCTCAACGCTTGTTCTTGATTATGTGGAGGGAAAAAAAACGGAGGGCCCGGAGAAAAATACACGCAACCACGGGGAGACCATGAAGACGTTTACTTTTAAGAACGTTTCCAGATAAGAATTATTCAATTGCAATATGCTGTGGGGTGTGTGGGGTGTGTGCGTGTGGAGTGTGTGGGGTGTGTGCGTGTGGGGTGTGTGGGGTGTGTGCGTGTGGGGTGTGTGGGGTGTGTGCGTGTGGAGTGTGTGGGGTGTGTGCGTGTGGAGTGTGTGGGGTGTGTGCGGGGTGTGTGGGGTGTGTGCGTGTGGGGTGTGTGGGGTGTGTGCGTGTGGGGTGTGTGCGCAGGGCGTGTGTGCGTGTGGGGCGTGCGCGTGGGGCGTGTGGGGTGTGCGCGTGGGGCGTGTGGGGTGTGCGCGTGGGGCGTGTGGGGTGTGCGTGTGGGGTGTGCGTGTGGCGTGTGCGTGCATGGGGTGTGTGCGTGTGGTGGGCATGGAGTGGATCTGCATGGTGTGCGTGGTGTGTGCGCGTGAGGTGCGTGGGGTGTGAGCGCGTGGGGTCCGTGGGGTGTGTGTGTGTGTGCGTGGTGTGTGTGTGCGTGGTGTGTGTAGAGGTGGTGTGGTGGGCGGTTCCAGGATGGCCACGTCTTGGGGTCCAGGGTCAGGTCTCCGCCTCCTCCACTCCGGTTGACGTCATCCCCCAGTGGCGTCACCTGTATTGGGCCAAAACCCAGGCGAAGCATGGTTTATCAAGGGCCAGGGCACCCAAGACAAAGCATGGTTTGTCGCTTGTGTATACTGGGGTGCGCTAGTGCAGCGATTAGTGCCCTGTGCTTTGATCCCAGTGACCCGAGCTTCATTCCCGCTCACGGCCAACACTGGTGACGATTACACGAACTGGTCGTGGGCCTCCCCTAGATCAGCTCAGCCTTAAACAAGTACCTGGTGTAATGTATCATAATTGTGGTGGTGGTGGCCACCCACCTTGTGACGTGCCGTGCCAGCATTCATAGGGTGCTCTCTCACAGCACTTGCCCCAACAATCTGTCAATTATTTTGGGAGTTATTTGTCTAAGTGGCAAACCGGTTCTGTGATGGAGTCTTCACTCAGCCGCAGTGCTGCAGCAGCAGCAGCACTTGCGGATGAAGCTGAAAAATGTCCGGAATTTCTTCCGCACATGTCCCCTTGCCGACTTGCTTCTTGAAATGACGACGACTTCTTTCTCCTTCTCATCATTCTCGTGATCTTTCTCGCCGGGACAGAGAGTGGGGGCCAACCTGGAAGAGAGACACGCGTTCGGTCGTTATGCCTCGTCTGGCTTTCACACATCCCTAGGTGTACGTATGCCTTCCGACTGCAGGGTGATCCAGATGTCTTGTGACCCCCCAGTTAATCACTTGAAATTTCATCGTTTTGCAATACCAAATGGGTGTGAAAACATAAATGAATAATGAAAGGGGAAAAAGATCTTACTGGTCAATTAATTGGGGTTCACATGGCATCTGGACCACCCTGTACAATGCAACTCAACGGTCAAAGCATTTCCACGCTGAAAACGCGCAGTAGGGCCACTGGTGAAAATTGCAGTCGCGTCTCAAGATGCTGCATGAAACGGGGGGACAAGAGAGCGGAGCACTAACGAGAGAACCAACCGGCTGGATGCAGCCCATTCAAAATTTGGGTTTATCATGATAATAAAAGTCACGATGGGGGTGATGAAATATTTACCGAAATATCCTCAGGATAATCGTGTACCTGACATTTTTGTTAATTGAGCAGTTTGATTTTCATAAAATATTCAACTTATAAAAATATAGGACCCCTACAAAACAGAATCCTCATCTTTATCATTTCCAATACAGATATTTTGTCTTTTATGATACAGAGTGTTGATCTTGGTGGTGGTAGTTTGACTGAAAGATTTACATGTACTACCCATAAATCATGGACTGTATTAACACTTCGCGGGAAATCGGCAGTGGATGTTTCGAGGAGAGATAGGTACGTGGAATTTCCCCCAGTGGGTTAGGCTTGATGATGGAGGTGAAAATTGCCAAATGCTCATTTGAACAGGTACTGTACACACTTTGTTGTGGCTTAACAATAGCACAACCAACCAAATATCCTTCAATATGGACTTGCACGCGGAGACTCACTGTTGGCTTTTGGCTGTCACAAATTCTTCAACACTGCATCCCCCGGGAGTCACCGATTCCGGGGTCCCATAGGACTGGGAGTTGTCGTCCGACAGCGGCGACTCTGCTGGAACTGGGTCCGCCTTGAGTGACTGTGGGTCCGCCGTCTGACCAAGTGGAACGTTGACACTCGGCGCTGCAGCACTTCCCTGGACCTTCTTGCTGCCCCTCACCCAGTCGTGCTCCAGGGCCTGCTCCGGTGTGAGCCGGAGTGTGGGGTCCCACCTGCCAACACGCACAAGGGGATCGTCAGGGCCCGCTGTCCACATTTGTTCTGATCAAGAGGAGGTGGAGTTGAGGCACACCCAATGAATTGCCAACCGTATCCTCCATTGCATGCATGTACAGTGTGTTCTATAACGTGGTAGTTTCGTTCCTGAAGAACACAGTATTATCTCCTTGGTTCTTTCGGTAAAGTCACGTAGAAGGGAAATAATAAAATAATAGAAATAAAACATAATAAAATAATTCTCACGACCTTTCGGCCACAACGCAAGCAGCCGTCCGTTGTGGCCGAAACGTCGTGATAAGTATTTTATTATGTTTCATTT